TTCTTGGTTGAGTCTTCATGTGGTTTTGAAATCAGGGTAACTGTAGCCTCATAAAAGAGTTTAACAATGTTCCTTCTGTTGCTATTGTTTGGAACAATTTGAGCAATATAGGTATTAGCTCTTCTTTGAAGTTCTGGTAGAATTCTGCACTGAAACCATCAGGTCCTGGGCTTTTCTTGGTTGGGAGGCTTTTGGTGACTACTTCTATTTCCTTACAGGTTATAAATCTCTTTAAATTGTTCATCTGGCCTTGATTTAATTTTGGTATATGGTACCTATCAAGAAAACTGTCCACACCTTTCACAACCCTAAAGCCTGAGTTCAATTCCCAGAACCTACAGAAAAGAAGAAAAGAAAGGTGTCCACAAAGATGTGCCCTGACCTCAGCACACATATAATGGCAGGTATATACTCATACATATATGTGCACAATAATAATAAATAAAATTTTAAATTCTCGAAAACAGACTTACAAACTAAATTCAAAAACACATTTTAAAGATCATATACCATGATCAAATGGACTTTATTTCTGGGATGACAGGATGGCTCAATACACACAAATCAATATATAATCTATCTCATGGTCTCCAGAATTGAAAAACAAAAGCTGCATAATCAACTGAATAGATCCTCAAAAGACCTTTGCTGAAGTTCACCATCCCTTTATGGAAAGAGCCCTAAAGAAACTAGAACTAGAAGTGCTACATCTCAACACAGTAAACCCACATCTGACAACCCGACAGTCAGCATATGCCAGCAGGAGAAAATGAAGAGCACTCCCTTGAAATGAGCAATGAGACAGGAGTGTCCACTTTGTATACACTCTTATTAAAACAATTCTTAAAGTCTTCAACAGAGCTAAGAAAAGAAGGTAAACTGCTAACCCTGTTAGCAGATGACATGGTCTTAGACTTAAAAGTCCTTCAAGAATTCATCAAAAAACTCTTTGATCTGATAAACACTTTCAGTAAAGTAACATAATACAAATTATCACAAAAACAAAGCTGCTTTTCTATGTACCAGTAACAAGCCTGCTGAGAAAAATCAGAGGGAAATCCACACAACACCTAGGAATACACCTAAGCAAGGAAGTCAAAGAACTGCAATGAAAACTGCACAACACTGAGGGGCTGCAGAGACGGCTCAGTAGTCAAGTATGCAAACTACTCTTGCAGAGGATCCAAGTTAGATCCCCAGAACTCACACAGGGCAGTTCACAACTTCCTGTAATTCCTCTTCTGGTCTCTGAGGACACCACACATGTACACAGATCCACATATAGACAGACACATGCATGTGCATAATTTTTAAAATAAATCTTTAAAAACACTGAGAAACTGAAGAAGACAACCAAAGATGGAAAGACTTCTCCAAACTCAGATTCACAGAAAAATACTGTGAAAATGGCTGTATTAATGACCATGATCTACAGTCAATGCAAGCCAGACCAAAATTTCAATGGTACTCTAAACAGAACTTGAAAACAAAACAAAAAAAAATCCTGAAACTCACATGTAAGTACAAATGTTCCTAAACAGACAAAATAATCCTATGAAAAAAGTAATGCTGAAGATATCACAATACTTGACCTCAATTATATAAGAGACACATAAAAAAAAAAACCAGCAAAGCACAGTCAAAAGGACTAATAAGGACTAACAGAATAGAATAGTGAACTCAGAAATCAGCCCATGCATCTAAAGTCACCTAAATTTTAACAAAGCATTTTAAAATAAATGCTTAGGCTAGGTCTTTTAAGTTTTTTCCAGATAGCCCATTACTAGTTCTTGATGTTATTTGAGCTATTAGAGTCCTTTTCAGTCCTGGCCTAGCTTGTTTCATGAAGTGTTTCCTTATGTCTTCCTCGGACAGCTTAAATATGCAATCAGCCTAAATGCCAACCAAGAAGTAAACAGACGGTTGGAGAGATTGTCCAGCAGTTAAGACCACTAGCTGCTTACAGAAGACTTGAGCTCTGTTCCTAACACCCACACACAACTGCCTGTAACTTCAGCTCTTAAGGATCTAATGCCCTCTTATGGACTCAGCAGGCACTGTACACACATGGTGCACTTACACACACGCAGGCAAAATGCTTACACATAAAAATTTTTTAAAGAAATGAACAAAAACATGGCATATACACACAGTCGAGTTATTATTCAACCCCAGAAGGAATAAAACTGACATATGTGGAAAAATGGAGCTGGGAGATCAAAATAGTAAACAAAATAAGCCAGACTGGAAAGACAAACATTGCATTTTTTTTTCATATACAGAGCACACACACACTGTGCTAGTTAATTCCCTGTCAACTTGCCTAGATTTGGAATTCCTATGAGACACACCTCCAGGTACATCTGGGAAGGTGTTTCCGGGGAGGTTTAAATGAGAGAAGACCCACTCTGAAAGTGGGCACATCATTCCACAGGTTAGTGGTGCTGGACTGAAAAAGGAAAAACAGAAACGAAAACGAGCACCAGGATTCACAGCTCTCTGCTTTCCTGACTGCGTGGCAGTGCGTGTGGAAAACATCAAAGTAGAAACGGGAGACTATCAGGGGAGGAAGACAACTGGAATTGTGCTTCTTGATTGTCAGCTGGGAGGCACTACCAACTTCCGGGCACGCCTGTGAGGAAGTTTTTATATTGTGTTAATTGAGGTGGACAAACTGACCCTAAATATGGGTACATCACTCCCTGAGCTGGGTTCTCAGATCAAACAAGAAAGCAAGCTGAGCACCAACATTCATTTCTCTGCTCACTGAGTATGGATACAATGTGAATCAACTACTCCATGTTCCTGCCATGTCATCTCCTCGGACAAACTAGTCTCAATCTGTGAGTACAGACACACCCTTCCTTTTGTCAGGTATGGCATTACAGCAAGAAGAAAGGTTTCATACCTCAAGTTAAGAGGTAGAATGAAACAGGAGGACAAAATACAACTTGCTTTCCTCTTATGTGTTTCTATGTATCTCATGCATGAATGAAGGCAGAGGGAGGCTACTTGCAGAAAAGAAAAGTACCAGTGGGTGGGGCAAATATGTGCAAAGAAAGTGCTATACATGTATAAAGTGTCATATTAATTTCTTTAAAGAATAGCAGCTTCCTCCCCTTAGATAAGGAACAATAAGGACACAGTTTTAGCATTATTTTACTACTCAACATTATACTAGAAGTTGTAGCTATTAACAAAGAAGACAAGCAAACTGAAAAGGGAAAGGTAAATATGTCCATTCACAGGTGATGGTTTTCTATCTAGACAACTCCACAGAACACACCAAATGCCATTCAGGTTAACAAATTCAACTACACTGCACCTTACATAGCTGACACAGAAAAAGCTGTCATGTTCCTAAATTATAGTCCTTTAGTCTGAAGCTGGGACCCAGGCCTTTGCACACTCTAGGCAAAATATTTTACTATTCAGCTACACCCGTAGCCCAGCAGCTATGTTTTTATATGCCAGTAATGGGTACACCAAAATGGAAATTAAGAAAGCACTTCCATTTAAAAGAATCTAAAAGAAAAAAATAGCTATGAATAAATTTGCAAGGAGGTAAAAGACTTGTATATTAAGGGCTATACAGTATCATTAAAAGAAGCAACATTAATAGCTTCCACCTACAGACCCCCTGTGATGTGCAGATATGTGACATGTATCACTTCCAATCCTCAAGAAGATATTAACATCTCCATTTTATAGATAAAAAACTGAGACTCAGGCACATTAAACAGATGGTAACCGTCTCACAGCGATTGCTGACTTGACACTATGATTCCAAAACAAAAAATTCCAAACCACAATGTCTGCCCGCCTTCCTCTTAAATTAAGCACTCTCTGATATTTAATTCAAAGCTCTCATAAAAATCTCACAAAATTTTAAAATTTTCATGAAGCAAGGAGAATAGCTTGAACTCATTTTAAACAAGAATCCACCACTGAGTCAAATCATTTTAATTTATAATACTTACTAGGCACCCAACTATAGAGAAAAACCATATACCTAGAAACACTAAAAATAAAGTATGAATCAAATAGCTAAATTCTACAAGATTGATGTGAAGTGAAGAGAGGCACACTTATGTGTGAGGGTGGTGCCTAGATTGAGAAGGCAAGGAGGAGGAGGAACAGGTATGGCAGCACATTTATATATAGTCATGACCCAGCTCTAAAGAATAACAAAAACCAGAGAAACAAGGGCAGAAATCCAAGACATAATGTAGAAGGGGGTCTTGGCACTAGACAAGAATGTTGAAGATTTCTTAATACAGGCACAATAAAAGATCTGATTAAAATATTGGTTTAGGCCCCTGTATTCAGGTGCAGTTATGGGTTGCCTGTGCCCTGGCCATAGTTACTGCAGGGAGGAAATGCTGAAAGTCTTACCCTGTATTAGGAAGGTCCGTTCCTGTCCATGTCAAACCTCGGTGCTGTGGAACACATCTTCCTTCTCACAGCTTCTTGGTCTCCTGACTGCTCACTGAGTGTCCACTGTCAGTGCTGGGCAGTGCCCTCAGGGGCTTATGGAAGGGGAAGTAGAAGCAGGGCTCTGCCTTGAGGGTTTACTCTGGCCTAGTTTTGCAAGCGTCCCATCAGCCCCAATCACATCCTCCTGCGGAACAAACAGCTTTTCCTGTACTCTGTGGCCACTACAGAAGACCGGCCTCTGGAAGCCTGTGTGCTAGAAGGCTACCTGACCTTGCCTCCCAGCTGTTTGTGGACACCAGGTGACCAAGGAGTGGACAGCAAGACCACTACACACAGGGAAACCAGAGACACTGCTCACTCAGAGCATCGGAAAACAGCTTTTACTCAGCTTAGCCATCGGCTCAGGCATGAGAGACTCCAGCATACAGTCTTGACACCGACACCGAAGAGGTCTGTATCCTGTTCCTGTGCCCACCTGCTACTGTCTGGAGTGACAGGAGATTTTCTATGCATTTGTTGTTAACTTTTCTGCTAATTCCCCAACAACCTTAAAGATTAAAAAAAAAAAAGGTTTAGGAAAGTTACTCTAACATCTCTGAGATACAGCAGTTATAGGATGAGCTTCAATCCAAGTCACTAGAAATAGGGAGATCATGACTTGCTCACTTTTGCCACCAGGATTTTAGTCCTTTCTTAGGAAGCACACACAGACTTTATATACATTTCTTTTTTAAGGCAAATTGTAATCTTCAAGAATTCTTTTTTTATATATATATATTTATTTATTATGTATACAATATTCTGTCTGTGTGTATGTCTGCAGGCCAGAAGAGGGCACCAGACCTCATTACAGATGGTTGTGAGCCACCATGTGGTTGCCGGGAATTGAACTCAGGACTTTTGGAAGAGCGGGCAATGCTCTTAACCACTGAGCCATCTCTCCAGCCCATCTTCAAGAATTCTTGTCAATATGTAAATGGTCAAAGCCTTGAGCAGATAACTTTTTCTTTGAAAAAGTAATAATGATAATAATAATTAATAATCATAGGTAAATAAATAGAAGCAAAATGATACAACCTATGAAAAATAATTTTATTTGAGAAATGACAATTTTATCATGGGAAATGACTATCTGGGCTAAAGAAAATACACTTACAATGTCAAGTGCAGAGGCTCCGGTTTTCTACTACCACATGATTCAGGCGCTCAAATAGAGCCCACTCCCAATAGTCTTCCTGACACCCACTTCTTCTCAGAATAATAATATTCCCATTCACAATCCACTAATTCTTTTCAAGACTTTGAACTGAAATTTAGTAACAGAAAATAGCATCTTCATTATCTACCTCCACTTATGGCTTAAGCACAGACCCTAGACAATTCCCTTAGGAAAAATCTTGAGACCCAAGTTGGAAAAGTTGTGAAATGTTCTTTTAACTAATTTCATTAATTTGTTTGCATTGAGATAAGTCTCACTATGGAATCCTTAGCTGGCCTCAAACTCACAGATATCTACCGGCTTCTGTCTCCTGAGTGTTGGAATAAAATGTATGTACCACCATGCAAAATTTTCTTTTAAAGTATTGATATCTGGGCCAGTGAGATGAATCAACAAGTTAAAGCCTCTTACCATGAAGCCTGACAACCTAAGTTTGATCCTTGGAACATACACAGGAGAAGAAACCCTCCTTATGAGCCATGAATGGCACATGAAAACACACACACTAAATAAAAGGATAAATTAGAATAAATACATTTTTAGAGAATTGATTTCTTTCACTTCCATAAAAGGCAATATCATTTACACCCAGAATTCAGCTATTTACAAACTATCCATAGAGAGCAAAGCTGAACAAAAAATCCATTGCCCGTCAATGGCTCACCATAGCCATCATATCTGTTTTTTAAGCTTTTTCTATATGGCTGGACAAACTCCTATATATGCATTTTTTTCACTTAATGCACTTGTTACATTATTCCCAAACTACAGATAAATAATTTAGAATTAAAAGAGATTAAGTAACTTGCTAAAAGTGCTCCCAAACTAGCAATGGGGAGAAAGGTGCATTTTAAACATTTTGTCTTACTGTTTGTTTTTGAAACAAGATATTACAAGTACAGGCTGCGTAGACTTCACCCAGGTTTGAACTTGTCATGTAGGCAAGGATGACCTAAACCTGATTTTCCTGCCTTTAGCTCCCAAGAGATAGGATTACAGGTGTGAGCCACCACACTGGGCAGATTTTAAACGGTTTTAACTTCAATATTTTGCTCTATTAGCTCTACTTGTCTGGATATTTTATTGCTTCTTCTGTTTCTCTCAAGCCTCTGTAAAATAAGAATGATTTTACTTTCTACATCAGTAAGACAAGGCTGACAGTCGGCCAAGGGGCAAATAGTAGTGATGGTGAAAATAAAACAAACAGACCTTCTGCTGCAAAACCATCTGGAAAGGCAGGTTTGAAAATTTCTTTCAAAACTGCATGTACTACCTGATACCAACGATTTGACACACAGGTATAAACTGAGGTTTTCCCAGTTCCCATGTCCATAAGCATATTAAGTATTTGCTCATATCAGGTCCTATGCTAGCTCCTTTACACACATGCTCTCATCTAAACTCATGTGCACCATGATTAAGACAGTAGTTAAACGTATGCCCAAAGATTATACAAAAAAGTAAGGACATCAAAGATTCTTCACGACTACTAAAAATCCTTGGAGAGTAGAATCAGTTCTATCTTGAACCCTTAATAAAACGTATACTGAATAAACACTAAATAAATACTTTCAATATTTAATTGACTCATACAGTAATAAAATACTATATACTTGACCCATTGTTTACCAGTCATTTCCTGAGCATCTCTGATCATCAATTCAGCTAGCAACCAATTATAGAATTAGTTATATTAATTAACCATAGTAATTATATATTATACAGTTTAATTATATGTAATTATATTATTCTATAATTATTTATGTTAATTAATTATATAATTAACATGTGACTGTCGTAAACCACTCACACAACTGAATTTTAGTCAGCATTAAAGAAAAATGAAATCTGCAGGAAAATGAATGGAATTGGAAAATATTCTACTGAGTGTGGTAAGCCATACCCAGAGAGACAAACACTGGGTGTTCTCTCATATGTGGATCTTGAACTCAAAGTTTTAGATAGCTATGCTGAGGTTGCAGTGTCTGAAGAGGCCAGGTATCAGGAAAGGAGACATGGGGCAGGGGGTGTTGAAGGGAGCAGGAAGAGTACATCATATTTATATAAAAGCAGAGGAGGGACTGTAGGAAAGAAAAGGGTTGAAGAGAAATGAGGAAATAAAGAGATAGAAGAAACGTGGAGTTGGAGGAGGGGGGCCAATCAAAACTAAGAAAGCATGAAAAAGTCATATAGGAACCTACCATTTTATAGACTTTTAAAAAAAAAAGAAAAAAGAAACTGAACAGAAGTATTTCTCATGGTGGTTAACACTGCTCCCAGAAGCCATAGGATTTCAAACCAAAATTCCAGTGTCAGCTATGGGATATTCCCTTATGATTGGTCAGGTAGTCCCCGCAGACTCTCAAAACACTACAGGCTCTTATATTTGCTCTTGGATACCCACCACCATAGTGCTAGAACAATCACACCCAGCTGTAGGTTGTTCCTGTTCCAATACTGAACTGCTTGGCAAGACATGCTACCACATGAATGTTCTAAGGGTAACCAACTGCTTTCTGATTGGATTGAAGAAACTCTCCAGGAGGGAATACATATATGCCTGCACCATAGAACTGGTGAAAAGCCTGTGAGAGGTCACATGCTCTATTGGAGAATCTAACACTGGTGTCTTTCCCAAAAAACATGTGTTAAAACTGCTTTCTAAATATATATGTTTATACCCACAGACTCCTGTCGCTCTCAGACTGGATTAGAGAAGCCTCTTGCAGCAGTGGGCAATAGTTAAACGGGAACACGACAGCTAGTGCTTAGACCCAAATGGGTTTTCTACATCACCCCATCCACGGTCGGTCCAGGGAACATCACAGAAGAGAGGGTGGAAGGGACTACGGGAAGTGAAGGGTGGGGAAGAATGCAGTATGGTGCTGTCTTCTGAATACAAAGTGGTCCTTATGATCATGAACATACACGGCTGTGACTTACCTGGGAAGAACTGAACAAAAAAGGAAACAAGGGAGAAAATGAGAGAGGGAAGGATAGAGACCAAGAGAGGAAGAAGATAAAAGCACAGATATAATGGGGAGACTTATTAGAAAGAAGAAAGTCTGGAGTAGGGGGAAGGGATGAGAAGGTAGTAAGCGTTGAGTGTACTCAAAGTTCATTGTATATAAGTATGATATTGCTAAAAATTTTTAATTAAAATTTTAAAGCTGGGAGTGAGCATGGTGACAAACATTTCTAACCTCAGCACTCAGGAGGCAGGCAGATCTGTGAGCTCCAGGTCAACCTGGTCTATATATTGAGTTCCAGACCAGCTACATAGCAGGCCTTGTCTCAAATAAACTGGAAATAACACTAATGTCCATCCAATCTGTATGACAAACAGAGCTTGGTTGAACACACCTGTAAATCAAATACTCAAAAGGTTAAGGAAGAAACTGCAGAAAACAACAAAAACCCATAATATAATCATCTGATGAAATACAATCTTCACAAATAATGAAGTAGGGCTGTAGTATCAGGACAAAGATATAATTAAGATAGAATCCATTTTTGTAAAATCAGTGATATAGGCTGCACTATTAGTATCTTAGTCTATTGCTGCAATGAAACACCACAACCAAAAGGCAAGTTGGGGAGGAAAGGGTTTATTCAGCTGACACTTCCACATTGCTGTTAAACACCAAAGGAAATCAGGACAGAAACTCAAAACAGGGCAGGAACCTGGAGGCAGGAGCTGATGGAGAAGTCACGGAGGAGTGCTGCTTACTGGCTTGCTCAACCTGCTTTCTTATAGAACCCAGGACCAGCCCAAGGATAGCACCACCCACAA